GGGGGGTGAGGAGAAAATCCCAATGTGATCTTGATCAGAAAAGTTGCATTTAAATAAATTCTAGGTTATGAGATACCATTTCTGCATTCTTTTTTATACGATACAGAATAAGTCAAGTAAATATGAGAAGAAATATTCATGCTAAGATAATGCATACATGTATTTAACTGTTAAAAATCTAAACTAAATCCATTCTTCTTGGAACCATACAACAACAATTGTTTTAACGAGATCATGCAAATCAAGTTCCTCAAGTAAATCGTCGTTTTACTCAGTCAAGACGTACTTAGCCAGTTTCAGCTTCGAGCATGTAACATGTACCCTCTCGCCCCCCCCCCCCCACCTGGCTACGCCACTGCCGATACATTTAGTGTTGCTTGTTTTACAAGGCCAATTCTAAAAAAAAAGGAAACTAGATGAATTTGAATGGTGGGATGAAGAGTTGTACAACCCTGGGGACCCAGTATTGACTCTTGGTCTGTCTGGAAGTCCAAGAACTAAAGTATGTACTGTACATATAAAAATGTAAAAAATTCCACAACTTTTTAATTATTTGTTTGCCTTGTTTGTTTAAAAAGGTGTTTCTCAAATTCTGCTACATTTTATGCTTTTATATATAGTTTTAGATTTCAATTGTATAATATGTAATTATACATACACCAGCATCATGTAATATTGCCGATGGAGGAAATATTGTATGAGCTTAAAATTAAAACTCTTTTTGTAGTGTAGTGAAGATAGCAAAAATTTCAAGGGCGAAAGCAGTAAAAGCAAGGTATGTGGGCCCATGATTGAGGACATATGCCATTATGGACAAATTTGCTGGATGAAGAAATGATTTCTGATGATGAAAGGTACTATTTGCAGTACTCTGTTTATTGTTCATTTATTTAATGATCTATATACAAATAACGAAATGTTATTGGCTCGCTTAAGTCACGTGTTGAATTCTGATTGACTAAGTTTAGAATGCGCTGGACGGTAATAAGTAAGGAAAAACTAAAAATTTATCAAAACAGTGAAAAAACATTTTTTTAAAGAAATAAAAAAGTGTGATAAAAAGGCAATTATATAATTTTGAATGTTGTGTATCTAATTAAATGACTGCAATTACTACCATTTCACGCGTTTCTTCACGTTTCAAACGTAACGTTTCCTAATTAATTCTGTTACTTTAACCAATGAAATCAACAAGTTTGAACATAGATCATTTGTCGCGCGCAGCAAGCACTCAATGAAAAGCATTGTTCATATATATACATAATATACCTAAGGTTGGCAACTATATCTCAACTGACGAATATACGACTTCGGCAAAACGCAATATACTTCGCACACGTAAATAAAACATGATAAAAAAATTATAGCACATTAAACTCTGATAATTTTTCTATTTACTCACACATAAATTTTGTTTTGCAAGACTGCAAGAAAGCTGAATTGAAAAATTTGCACAAACATTTCATGGTTTCACGAAAGTTTTGTTGTCTCCATGCGGGATGCTAGAGGTTATTTCATTTGTCATATTTTCAAAAAAATTATGTGATTCATTTGGTTGAAAAGAAAACATTTTGTTACGTATTTATAGTAAGAATTTGGTTTCAGGGGGGGGGGTTGAACTACAACATGAAGACTGATAAAATACAAGAGCAATTTTCTATCGAGGATAAAATGGTGGATTTTAACAATTTTTTATACCCTTCCATATTCCATAACTTTTATCTGCAGCAAAACAACCAGGCAACTTTTAGCTACATGTACGCATAATGTCATAAAATTCTGAGCAATAACAGCGAAGAAAATTTGTTAACAAGACATAAACATAGACATATGTTATAAATTAATTATTTGTTATTAAAAAGTGTCCTATTTTTTAGGCAGGAAACTGTCGAGTTAAGGAAAGTTAGAAAAGGCTAATTTCATCCCAGTCACTGGGATGAAGTACCTTTGCAACATGTACATGTTGAAGTTCTTCCCTTTGATATTGATGGACATTGTCGATATTCTCTACCATGCAATCCAACAAAACTTATGCAATCCAGTAAAGATGGACGGCCATGGCAAGCTTATATTTCATCAAGTCGGAAAGGTTTTAAAGGCATTAGAAGAATAGCTGAATGCAAAGTTTCTCATGTATGCAACAATATACAATGCCCTTATATGCAACAATTCAAAACTTTTAACACCGTTCAGTTTGAGTCATCGGGTGGTAAGCGAGTTTGTTCGTGTTGTGGTTATGCTGCTGACCATACTCCATGCGAAGCAAGAAAAATGTGGGAGTTTGAGAATGGTGACTATGCAACTACTGTTATTATTTATCACGAGGGAACGCATTCCTGCACAGCAGTTAGACCAAAACGCTCAGCAGATGAATATGTCAAATCTGTCCTTAAAGAAAACAAACACATGACACCTGGCCAGTTGCCAATCCACATCATAATCAAGATGATAGACGACGGGAGTGACTGGAGTGAGATTACAAATAAAGCACGCGAATTTACCGATGTAGAAACGTTGTCAAAGTTAAAAAGTGCTATGAAGAAACAAATGAATCCGCATGGACACAGTTTCGACGCTGTTACTAAACTACGAGAAAAAACCATAGAAAAGGATCGTTTTTACTTATATTGTTTAATAATAGAGAAATGAATCCATCCAATCCTACGTATGTTTTTAAAACGAGCACAGTTTCACTAAATATTGCTTTGAACATGCAGCAGTCTGCAGATCATTTTATGCGAGAAGAGTACTGCTACTTTGACGGTACTCATTCTCGTTGTCATGGACTTAAGACACTGACATTGTGGACTTATCATCCTTTGCTGCGTAAACTTGTAAAACTTGCCACAATGCATTGCGAAAGAGAAAGCCAAGAATGCATTTCGCTTTTTTGGAAGCTGTGGAATGATGCCCTTTCGGAGATTTCCAAGAG